GGTTCATCTCAGGTGGAGGTGCCCTACACAATAACATGTCGTCCTCACTGCAGTACCAGCACGGACAGAGTCCTCGTAAGACGTGATTTGGACCGTCAGTGATCCTCTCTTCCGACGGCTCCACGTGAGTCTGCCAGAGTGCGGTTGTATTTACCAGAGGTGCTCATTTTATCCGGGCTCGATGAAGTAGGGTGCACCACGTGCACCTCCCTTGAAGACCACCCATAGGTCCATCACCCCAACAGGATGTTTACTTTGCATGACCGCTGGAATATTCTCGATACAATCCCCTATATGGCATGCCATTCTTTTTTATCGTATTCCAGTTGGTGATAAGATTTTTTGTCGCTGAAGTTTTGAACATTGTTTCTTTTTAATATGCTCAAGTGCTTCTTCCTTATATTCAAGTGAGTCATCTTGTATGTCCTCTGCTAAGAGTTATTTTACGACGATTACGTTAACCTGTTGTCCTAAGTATCCCCACACAATCCTTATCGTCCGTGATAACACGTTGACCTGCCCAGCAACCTTTACGTGGAATTGCAGGGTTTTAAACAAAATGTTCTTGTTTTACTTGTTTAACATTAGTGTCTATGGGCGCGCGCAAAGCACTTGGAGCACCGTCGAACTATTTTGCTGCTCTTTTCCAGGAAGTTGCATGCTCATGGATGTAGTCATGTCAGATGATGCACAACTTTTGGGCGTTTCATTGCCATAATATAATTTATAAAAATAATGCCATGCCTACTCATGATCAGAGCCCAAAAAGCATTCCCGATTATGCTGCCCCACCCTGTAAAGGCATGGGTCGGATGGGCTACCATTTATATATTTTTACTTTTAGTTAAAAAAAAAATATTCATAGTGTCAGGGCTGTGACGAAAAATAAGTGGCCTAAATCCGATGAGAAAACAGGATTTGGGGGTACCCTAGGTTTGGCTCCTGCATGAGTTGCCCCCCCCCCCCCCCCAAAAACGCAAGCCTGGATCCGCCAGTGATGATCACCAAATAAAACGGTTCCCACCGATGACTCATATACGTGAATCTAAACAATGCCAAACGCTTATTAGCCCACTGATTGGCGCAGAGGGAGCAACGTCAACGGCCCACAGGAAAACTAGCCTGCTCATTGGCCACTCAACGTGATGACGTCACCAAAGCCAAGTTTTCTATAAAAAAAACGTTTCTGTCTGTATAGCCTTTACGGCGGCGGGCGGTGCATCTGCCACCTGGCGGATTAATATTGCACTAGTGGTGTGTATGTGTGGTGTTTGGTGTCGCCCAGGTCGAATTGTCGCACCGCCGCGATGGCAGTCTGAGGCTGGGTTTCGCCGGGGTTAACCGTGTTTGGTTTCAATATAATCTCGCCATCACTTGTGGCCGTTCCCCTTTATTAACCCGCGCGGCGCTGGGGTCTCCAGCCGAACGCGCGGCGCTCGGGGAGGGGGTAATATTTACCCCCCCCCCCCTGCTAACTCAAAAACTTATGGCCGTAGAAGCAAACGGAAGGCGGCAATCGAAAGCTCACAATGAGAAGGTGCTAATGCGTGCTTAACATTTGCTTTAAAAGGTCAAATCAAATGTAAGGTCAAGGTCACATTTAAGGTCAAATCATGATTTTTGCATCGGCGGTCCATGTTTTCTATCCAAAAGCTTCCAAGTAAGCAGTTTCAACCAAGGTTTCAACAGATATTGCCCCATAAAGTCCACTCCACTACAATTGAAGTGAAACTAAGAATTCAGATAAGGTCAAAGTCAAGGTCAAACGAGGTCAAATTTTCATAATTTTAATTTTCACCAAAAAGGATCTATCCGATGCAGAATTTTACGGGGAACATTTGGAGTAATTTTTACTCTCCTAAGTTCTGTGGTTTTTCCATAAAATAAAAAAATCAAGGTCAAAAAATCAAATTTTTAAAATTTTGGATTTTCACCAAAAAAGGGTCTATCGGATGCAGAATTTTACGGGGAACATTTTGGTGTCATTTGTATTTCCCCAAGTTGTATAGTTTTTCCAAAAATCAAATTTCAAACTTTTTGTGAGTGACATTCACTTAGTTTTTGGACGATCCCAAAGCCATTTTTTGACCGATTGACTTGAAATTTGGAATGTGTATAGTCCACACCTACTTCTCACACATATGGTTGTTTTTTTTTTCGAAAATTTTGAAAATTCTGGATTTAATATGAATCTCCCGAAAAATTTGGTTTTTCCAAATTTTGGGGGTCAAAAACTCAAAATTTTGAAAAATCGAGACAGCCATTTTGTAGTCGTTGACATTTTGCATCTTTTGACGTTTACAAACTTGAAATCGCTTCAAAACTGAACGCGTAGAAGCTGCTTGAATATCGGGCTGATTTTGGACGAAAATCGCGTGTAGTGACGTCACAAAACCGTGATTTTTTTTTCGAAAATTTTTCCGTCAGATTTCGCTAAAATTTTCACACAATGTGAAAAACTGTTTTAAAAAAGGTACTGAAAGTTTCGTGACGATGTCATACGCCGTCTTTAAGTAATTGGCAAAACCCGTGAGCGGGGGGGGATATTTATCCCCCCAGCGCCGCGCGGGTTAACCCTCGCCATACCAGTGAGGGGAGGGGGGTGGTGCCACCCTTCCAGACGGTTTTTCCAGGATTGCTGGAGAACGCGTAGGGATAGAAAGCTGAAATTTTGGATATGCTACTTTTCAGACGCCGGACCTTTCAGTGTCAGAAAAAAATCATATGTGCCGCGGAACGGACTTCGGATTCGTGATCAGCGTGTCCTGTTTGGTCTACATGCCGATTTTGAGGCGATTTGAAAGGGTCCGGAATCTGCATGCAGATCCGTAATTTGTCAATTACGGGAAAAGTTTCATATGTGCCGCGGAACGGACTTCAGATTCGTGATCAGCGTGTCCTGTTTGGTCTGCATGCCGATTTTGAGGCGATTTGAAAGGGTCCGGAATCTGCATGCCGATCCGTAATTCGTCAATTACGGGAAAAGTTTCAATGTGCCTCGGAACGGACTTCGGATTCGTGATCAGCCTGTCCTGTTTGGTCTACATGCCAATTTTGAGGCGATTTGAAAGGGTCCGGAATCATGTCCGTGAAGTTAGCGTCAGCAACAGCAACGAATGCAGTGTCGGATTCAGAATCGCTTCAAAAACTGCTATCAGGTCAATTGGGGGACGGGGAACACGAATATGACATTTATTTTGCCCTAGCTCCTTCATCCCTTAATCGTCCCTTAAAGGACAGGGCGCGTCAAAAGTGCCCCAAGGCTTCCTCTGATCGCCAAAATAAGGGTCGCAATCGATTCCTCGGGTCAATATCTAACCTCAGTCGAAGGTTCCAGACCTGTGGCTCCTATCCCTCATCCCTTAATCGTCCCTTAAAGGACGGGGCGCGTCAAAAGTGCCCCAAGGCTTCGTCTGATCGCCAAAATAAGGGTCGCAATCGATTCCTCGGGTCAAAATCTAACCTCAGTCGAAGGTTCCAGACCTGTGGCTCCTATCCCTCATCCCTTAATCGTCCCTTAAAGGACGGGGCGCGTCAAAAGTGCCCCAAGTCTTCGTCTGATCGCCAAAGTAATGGTCGCAATTGATTCCTCGGGTCAATATCTAACCTCAGTCGAAGGTTCCACACCCGTGGCTCCTATCCCTCATCCCTTAACCGTCCCTTAAAGGACGGGGCGCGTCAAAAGTGCCCCAAGGCTTCGTCTGATCGCCAAAATAAGGGTCGCAATCGATTCCTCGGGTCAATATCTAACCTCAGTCGAAGGTTCCAGACCTGTGGCTCCTATCCCTCATCCCTTAATCGTCCCTTAAAGGACGGGGCGCGTCAAAAGTGCCCCAAGGCTTCGTCTGATCGCCAAAATAAGGGTCGCAATCGATTCCTTGGGTCAATATCTAACCTCAGTCGAAGTTTCCAGACCTGTGGCTCGTATCCCTCATCCCTTAATCGTCCCTTAAAAGACGGGGCGCGTCAAAAGTGCCCCAAGGCTTCGTCTGATCACCAAAATAATGGTCGCAATCGATTCCTCGGGTTAATATCTAACCTCAGTCGAAGGTTCCAGACCTGTGGCTCCTATCCCTCATCCCTTAATCGTGCCTTAAAGGACGGGGCGCGTCAAAAGTGCCCCAAGGCTTCGTCTGAATAAGGGTCGCCATCCCGATTACGACCCTTATTTTGGCGATCAGACGAAGCCTTGGGGCACATTTGACGCGCCCCGTCCTTTAAGGGACGATTAAGGGATGAGGGATAGGAGCCACAGGTCTGGAACCTTCGACCGAGGTTAGATATTGACCCGAGGAATCGATTGCGACCCTTATTTTGGCGATCAGACGAGGCCTTGGGGCACTTTTGACGCGCCCCGTCCTTTAAGGGACGATTAAGGGATGAGGGATAGGAGCCACAGGTCTGGAAACTTCGACTGAGGTTAGATATTGACCCAAGGAATCGATTGCGACCCTTATTTTGGCGATCAGACGAAGCCTTGGGGCACTTTTGACGCGCCCCGTCCTTTAAGGGACGGTTAAGGGATGAGGGATAGGAGCCACAGGTCTGGAACCTTCGACCGAGGTTAGATATTGACCCGAGGAATCGATTGCGACCCTTATTTTGGCGATCAGACGAGGCCTTGGGGCACTTTTGACGCGCCCCGTCCTTTAAGGGACGATTAAGGGATGAGGGATAGGAGCCACAGGTCTGGAAACTTCGACTGAGGTTAGATATTGACCCGAGGAATCAATTGCGACCCTTATTTTGGCGATCAGACGAAGCCTTGGGGCACTTTTGACGCGCCCCGTCCTTTAAGGGACGATTAAGGGATGAAGGAAGGGAGCTAGGGCAAAATAAATGTCATATTCGTGTTCCCCGTCCCCCAATTGACCTGATGGCAGTTTTTGAAGCGATTCTGAATCCGACGCTGTATTCGTTGCTGTTGCTGACGCTAACTTCACGGACATTCCGGAATCTGCATGTACGAGATTGATATCAAGCTGCATGCAATTATACAAACGTCCCGATTCCACGTGAAAATGGCGAGCGTTGCGCGGTTGAAGCTCTCAGCACTCAGAAACGGATTGTCTTCGGTGAGTTGGTGTTTTCTGTTTGTATGCTGTATAACTATTTGGCAATGCTATTTTTCATATACGTGAATTGCATCCCTGAGCATTTATTCATGGGATGTGTTACAATGATGTGCGCCAGTTTCGTCGAAAATGTTAGCTTTTGCTTTATTTGTTATTCAAAACTTATCCTTTTTTGAGACTGTGTGAGTTAACGATCATATAGGTATAAATTCATTATCTGAAGGAATGTCCGATTAAAGGGACCCTCCCACCTTAACATTAGATTTGAGTTGAGATAGCCAAAATGGGGTCCCTGGCTCACAATTACCGGTTTCGGCACTCACAACATCAAGAAATGCCTTAAATCGGAAATATTGAATTTAAAAATTGCAGCATTTTGATTCAGAGGGGCTAATGCATAGGAATACCCCTCTGAATGTGTGACGTCAGCGCAGATATCTAACGATTTTTAAATGTTTGGCTAAAACGTTTTGTAGCACGCGTGGTATATGCTGTTTTGCGTGCAACAAGTGCCGCACTTTCAGCTGCCAAACTATTGCTTCCAAATAAAGTCGCTAGGAACAGCGGAGATCCCATAAAGTAAACAAAAGTAAAAGTCTAATATCTTGAAAACCGGTGAATATTTTTTGGTGAAATTTGGTAGATATTCGTTTTCGCTCTTTCTGAACCGAGCGACATCACTTTCATGCCAATTCATAAACTTTTTTGAAGGTAGGAGGGTCCCTTTAACCACGCTTCACCTCTGTGATGACTCCCTGTGGGATTGGTGAAATCCTCATCCTCCCTTTTCATCTTAGGCTCAAATTTGAATGAAAAATCACTATTAAGTTACAAAATATATATTTACCTAGAAAATTATTCATAAAATTATTTGATACTCAAAAATCATATACACTTCAAGTAGAAATGACAAAGGTATATATATATAACTTGACCTCACTTTACCTAAGATGGTATTAGACAGTAGAGTAGACGTCACACGAAGGTTTTCCAACCAAGGAGAGGTGCCATACCATACCCGGAGGTGCTTCTTTCTAGGAAAACCTAAACAAACCTAACCTAACCTAACCTAACCTACAACCTACAACTTACAAACCTACAACCTAAAAACCTACAACCTACAAACCTACAAACCTACCCTACAACCTACCAGCCTACAGCACCTCTCCTCAGTTGGAAAACCTTCGTGTGACATCTACTCTACTAATGCCCATAATATGTGGGCATTAGTAGAGTAGGTACCAACATGTGGGTAAATGTTGAGATAAAGTCCAAAGCAGACTTCAAGGATAATTTTTGCATATTCCTACTTTTTGGTACACACATACAATCAAGGCCGTATATAGGAGGTAGAATGGTTAGCCGTTTGTTTACATCGGTGACCTTGACAGATGACGTCAGCGGGTGTCTACAAATCTGCGCCAATGTTAATCTTCCAAGGATTTTATACTCTAGGACAGTTTGATATTAACCTTAAGGCTCCCTTAGAGCCTAAAAAAGATAATTTACTGCACAGCAAAGTCACAAAAATCAACAAAACCTTGACACCCTGTGACGTCATCTTTCTCCTGAGCCCTCCCTATGTGGCAGCATAGAACTGTAACCCCGTGCATACAATTACTTAATATTTAACTATTATTTTTTCTATTAGTGCTATTTTGAGTCCACGTCCATCTACTACTGTAGTACTAATATCCGCCACTTATTAGATATTAAGTAGATATTAAGTTATACCTACTAGGGGAGAGTGGGGTAAGATGCCCAGGGTGGGAAAGACGCCCCACCCCCTCTAGCGGCGAAACAAAGAATCGAACCTGGAAATTAATGTTCTTAGCGTAAAGCGCAAGCCTGCCTTGTTAACTGCACAAAAATTTGTGAAGCTCAGTTGGGCAACGGCTGGCTGGTGATTGCATGTTTTTTATTTGCTGCTTTCAAAAAATATTTTGGTGTCAAAACATTGTAAATATCAAAGAAGGTAGATAATTTTTGCGTCCCTTGCTATAGTCGTGATACATTAACATGCGCGTACTGTGTCCCAAACAGTTTGTTTCAGGGTGTAGTTTTATGGCTAACAAATTGTACTGATTTAATGTTAATTCGGTACCTTGGGGTAAGATGCCCCCTGTCCTGATGGGGAAAGACGCCCCCCTAAATCCCTAGGCTGTCCTTCAAGCAGGCCGTCAAATCTTTTATTACATACTTGTGATGAGAGACAAAAGCTGATCTGGGACTATTGGGAGTCCAGTACGGTCGGGTGCTCCCAATGCCGGTCTCTCGGCCCACACAGCGACTTTTTGGGCGGCATCTGACTCTGGAGCCCTCACGACGGCCTCTGTGGGCCCCATTATTGGCTCCAGGGCCCCTCACGACATCCTTCGAGAGCTCCCACGTTGGCTCCACGGGCCGCGCTGGCATCTGAGGTCCCCACGATGGGCTCGAGGGCCCTCAAGCATCATGAAGACCTATAAGGGCCCCACAGTGGTCTCCGAACGCCACCACGGAGGCTTGTTTGGCCGCGCTGGACTATGATGGCCCTAACGATGACCTCTGAAGCCCCTTACGACTACTTTTGAGGGCCCTTTCGATGACGTTTGGTGTCTACTGCAGGCTCGAAGGGACTGCTGATTCGTTCAGGCGATTCACGTGCCCATTTATGTCACTTTCAATGCAGGGGGCATCTTCCCCAACGCCAGGGGGCGTCTTTCCCACCCTGTGGGGTAAGATGCCCCCTTTCACTTCTTCAGGAAAATGCTTAATAGCAAAAAACGTTATCATATTTCAGGCACGAAAGTGTGATATTTTTGGAGAAAAATGATGTCGGCTTCCGTTGAAACTCCAAGTTTTTGCTTTCCGATCGTCATTTTCGAATAATACATGACATAGCAAAACCCTGGGCATCTTTCCCCACTCTCCCCTACTTATACAAGGGCTACGGTTGTAGCCCTTGAAGCATATTCTGCTTTTGCTGCTGTTAACAAAAGTGTGCATAGTTTCGAGGCAAAATCTCAGGCAGACTATGAACACAGTCTCATTGATAGGTTTAAAGAGAATCCCAAGCTGTTACACTCATATGTGCGCTCAAAAAAATATGTTCCGTCCTCCGTGGGTCCCCTGAAGCTTTCAAATGGAAAACTTTGTTCTGATCTCGCAGCCATGAGTGAATGCTTGGCTTCATCATTTGCAGCTGTTTTTTTTTTATCAAAATGTCCCATCTCTTCAAGAACCACATCAGTTGTATGAAGGTCACATTGATATGTTACATCTGTCTATTGACGTGGTGAAGTCCGAGCTTTTATCCCTCGATGTCAATGCTGCTATGGGTCCCGATGGTATCCACCCTATGGTACTCAGGAGATGTAGTGAATCCTTGGCCTATCCGCTCTTTGTGATTTTCTCCAAGTCACTCGAGGAAGGGACAGTTCCTGTGGCTTGGAAGAACTCCACCATTATCCCTATTTTTAAAAAGGGGCATCGTTTCGAGCCACTTAATTATAGACCAGTGAGCCTTACCCCTGTTTGCTGCAAAACCCTGGAACGCATCATTACTAGCCACTTGCGGCTCGATCTAGAGGACAATGACCTTCTTTCTGATCATCAGTTTGGGCAGGGGGCGTCGAAGTCTAGTAGGAAAATCTGGAAATCCCCGGCGTGACGTCACGTCGGGGATGACCGACGGCACCTTGCACTGAAAGATACGGCAGAACGGCTATTTTTGAAAAATGATTAAAAATACTTTTGTGCTGTTATGACACACAAAACGCTTATCAGCATGTTCCTCATCATGTGATAAAGGCATATCTGTGGTCGAAAATAGTCGAGACCCTCCCAATTTCCAACCATCGACCTGATAAGCAAAGGATGTAAGCATAATCCTTAAGGGCGAATTTCCGTTACATATCCGTACATATGCATCCTTATGGCAATCGGTAGTTTGGCGATTGGCGACGCGCGCGACATCTGTGCTGCGACTGTAGCGACGCCTGGTGGCTGCTTTTCTCCTGTATGTAGGTATTGGGGTTTTGCCAGATGTGGTTCCTACTGCTACACCACCATGTTGACCCAATACTAGAAAAGTTATTTTGCTAGTAAAAGGCAAGCAAATTGAAAGTTGATTTATAAAATTGCTGATAAATGAGCATGAGATAATAATAAAGAAATTTTGATTGAATTATTATTTAAATAATCAACCGTGAACCTATATTCTGGTAGGTTTAGTAGAAATAAGTCCGTGCAACCTTGTATTTAGGGCCTTGAGTTTGGGTTTCGCCAAGGGAGATCCACTGCGGAGCAACTTCTTTTGGCTTACGACGAGATCGCGGACCTCATGGATTCTGGATATGTTGTGGACTTAGTGTTGTTCGATTACAGTAAGGCTTTTGATATTGTTTGCCACAAAGTCCTGTTAACGAAGCTCCAGTCTCTTGGCATTACCGGTCAGCTCTTAACATGGATAGCATCATTCCTATCTGTCAGGGAGATGAGAGTGTCTGTTAGCGGACATCTCAGTGGCCCCAGACCTGTCCACAGTGGTGTGCCTCAGGGTTCGGTCTTGGGACCGCTACTTTTTTTGGTCTATATAAATCACATTGGCTCCAAATTGATATCAAAGTTACAAGATATTTGCAGATGACCTCAAGATTTATTCCGGTGTGAAGTATCCTCGCGGACATTGCCCGACTGTGATTCCATCTGTTCAGAATGATATAGACTTGTTGGTCAATACGTCTGTATCATGGGGTCTCAAGATTAACAGAGAGAAATGTGCGGTCCTACGTTTCTCGAAAGGCTTTAAGGACCTGGTGCCACCTTCATACTCCCTCGAGGGTAGTCCCCTTCCTGTCTGTGACTCGCACGGTGACCTTGGTGTCCTGGTGGACACAAGGCTTAGATTTCACGAACACATCGGATCTGTTGCACACAAAGCGTCTGGTTTATGTTACAGTTTTCTTAAGTCAACTGTGTGCCGCTCATCTGATTTCATGTTGTTCCTCTTTAAAACT